TTTTTTTTTTTTTTTTTTTTAATTAGGTCTCACTTTTGTTCCACTAATGAAGAGTCCTTTATGCTGACTCCTGACAGCAACGTGGGAAACAGGATTGAAAGCATCACTCAGCGCATGGCAGTAATCGAAGGAAAGAACAAGGTATTGTTTATGAAAACAAGCACTGAGATAATTATCCTGAAAATACACTCTCAGTTCCCATCTTTGGGTTTAATGGGACTAGAAACAATGAAATGGTGGAACAAAAATCCAAAGAGAAGAAAGCCAGTGCCTGAGGTGTCATGGAGAGCTATGCTGAGACAGCCCAAGCTGCTGCGCTGGCCAGGAGACCACCCGTTCCACTGTTGTGATACACGGCACATTGCGTGGATTCCAACTTACGTTGACCCCATGTGACAGAGTAGAACTGCCCCGTTGGGTTTTCTTGGCTGTCATCTTTCAGGAAGCAGATTGCCAGCTCTTTTCTCTCAAGGAGTGGCTAGTAGGTTTGATCCACCAACCTTTCAGTCAGCAGCCAAATGCTTCACCACTGCACCACCAGGGAGGGCTCCTGGAAGTAATAATCCTTGGTCTTAACAGAAGAGGTGCAGCTGTCTTCTTAGACATCAGAACAGTCCACGTTAGTGGTTCTCAGCCCTGCTGCATATTGGGCAAGTCTGTTGTTGTTGGGTGCTGGCGAGTTAATTCTGACTCATAGCAATCCCGTGTGATAGTTTAAAACTGCCCCGTAGGGTTTTCAGGGTCGTCATCCAATAAGCAGCATCATGATAAACAGAGAAAATACTGACGCTGTCAAGGATTTCATGTTGTTGGGATCCACAGTCAACACCCATGGGATTAGCAGTCAAGAAATCAGATGTCATATTGCATTAGGCAAATCTGCTGCAATGGGCCTCTTTGAAATGTTCAAGAGCAAGGATGTCCCTTTGAAGACTAAGGTGCGCCTGACCTAAGCCATGATGTTTTTAGTAGCCTCATATGCATATGAAAGCTGGACAAGGAAAAAGGAAGACCGAAGAAGAATTGATGCCTTTGAATTATGGTGGTGGCCAATGATAGTGAAAATCCCATGGACTGCCAGAAGAATGAATGGATCTGTCTGGGAAGAAGTCCAGCCAGAATGCTTCTCAGAAGGGAGAATGGTGAAACTTCTCTTCACGTGCTTTGCACATGTTATCAGAGGGGGCCAGTCCCTGGAGAAGGAGATCACGCTTGTAAAGTAGAGGGTTGGCGAAAAAGAGGGAGACCCTCAATGAGACGGGTGGGCACCAAGGCCGTGCCATTGGGCTCAAAGATGAGAACACTCGTGAGGCTGGCCAGGACCAGGCCGTGTTTCACCGTGTTATACACAGGGTCACTGTGATTTAGAATCAACTCGTTGGCACACAACAACGATCCGTAAGGAAACAGATCGCCTGGTCTCTCTCCTTAGGAGCTGCTGTGTGGATTTGAACTGCCAACCTTTTTGTAGCAGCCACGTGCCACTAGGGCTTCTCCCAGAAGTTGTTAGGGCCTCTGAATCTCCAGAGTGGGGCCCAGGGGCTTCTAACCTGTGAAGAGAACCAAGATCACTGATGTACATGAAGTGGGATCCTACGACACAGAAGCTTGGGGTCTCGGGCTACTCGCCAAAAGACTGGTGGTGTGAGGCCACCCAGAGGTGCTTTGGAAGAAAGAGCTGGTCGTCTGCTCCCAAAAGGTCACTCCCGTGGAAGCCCTGTGGAGCTCAGCTGTGCATTATAACACCACGGGGTCGTCACAGCCAGAATCAACTCGACAGCATTTGACCAGTTAGTTATCAAACAACTTCAGGGTGAATTTCTATTTCATAAAATACCTTGTTTCCTCTGTGTCTGTAAGGGCAAGGCCTGGCTAAGTTGGGGCATGCAGACATACAGAGAAACACAGGATATCAAAATTTCTGTGCTAATCCGAAGGAGAGATCGGGCGGTGTAGTGGTCAAAGAATTCGGCTGCTAACCAAAAGGTCCTTGGTTCGAATCCACCAGCTGCTCTGTGGGAAAAAGAGGCTTCCGTAAGATTTATAGCTTTGGAAACCTTCTGGGGCAGTTCTCCTCTGTCCTCTAGGGGTGCCGTGAGTCAGAATCCACTTGATAGCAGTGGGTGTGGTTTGGGCCTTGCTTCTGTGAAG